ACGACAGGCCGTCGAGGCCGTCGAACGCGGCCTCGAGCACCGCGAGCGCCGCGTCGCCGGCGACGAGCTTGAAGGGCGCCGCGGCCGCGTCGTAGGCCCCCGACGCGTCGAAGAGGCCGTCGAGGAAGGAGGACCCGTCCGCCGGGAGGACGAGGGCCGCGCACGCGGCGACGACCGTCGTCTCCGGCGTGAGCTTCCGCTTCTTCGAGTCGCCTCCCGGCGCGTCCGCGGGCGACACGAGCAGCGCCCGGAGCGTCGCCGGCGCGGCGCGCCGCAGGGCCGGTCGCAGGGCGCCGTCGAGGACCGCGCGGCGGAACCAGGCGGCGGCCGCGCGCTTCCGCTCCGTCCCGCGCGGCTTGACGCCGCCGTCGAGCGCGCCGCAGCGCGCGAGCGCGTCCAGGCAGAAGCCGACGAGGCCGCCGCCGTCGCCCGCGGCGGCGCCGAGGGCCGCGGACCGCGCGGCGTCGCGCAGGGATGCTACAACGCCGTCGCGGAGCGCCGCGGCGCCCCGCGAGGCGCCCGGCGCGCCCGTCGCCAGCCGCGTCGCCGGCGCGAGCCGCGCCTCGACGACGTCCAGGAGCCGCGGCGCCGCGCAGGCGGCGTAGGCCGCGGCGACAGCGCGGTGCTGCGCCTCGAAGCGGCGGCGCCGCGCCTCGGGGAACTCGGCGCGCGCCTCGGGCGTGTCGTCGAGGTCCTCGGCCTTGAGCGGCATCGTGTCCGTGAGCCGCTTCCCGAGGCCGTCGAGCGCCGCGGTCGCGTCGACGGCGCCGCGCGCGTCGCCGCGCGCGCCGCCCTTGCGCGCGGCGTCGGGCGCCGCCGACAGCGGCGCGTTGCGCGCGTAGCCCGCGACGAGGTGGGGCAGGAGCCGCGTCGCGCGGAGCGCGGCGTCGTCGTCGCCGCCGCGGAGCGCGGCGTCGACGGCGCGCGCGGCCCGGGCCCGCGCGGCGTCGCGGTCCGCCGGCTCCAGGGCCGCCAGGCCCGGGAGCAATCGTTCGTGCTCGTCGAGCGCGCCGTCGCCGCCGCCGGCGGCGGCGAGGAGCGGCGCGAGGACGCCGGCGCGGTCGACGCCGAGCGCCGCCGCGGCGTCGACGGCGGCGACGGCGA